AGCTGTAAAGCATTTCCTTAATTAGTGATCAGTGAGAGGGGCCCAGTCCATGGTGGGTGGTATCATCCCTGGGCAGATGGTCCTGGGTTCTATAAGAATTTACGCTGAGCAGACCATGGGGAAGCAAGCCAGCCAATAAGCAGCGCTCCTCCATGACCTCTGCATCAGCTCCTGTCTCCTGGTTCCTGCCCTGACTTCCTTTGGTGATGACCAGCACTAGGGAAGTGTAAGCTGAATAAACCCTTCCTTCCCCAACCTGCTTTCTGGTTGTGGTTTTTCACTGAAGCAATAGAAACCTTAACTTAGACAAATTGGTACCAGGAGTGGGGTGTTGCTGTGTCACACCTGACCATGTTTTTGGGAGGATTGTGGAAGAACTTTGGGACTTTGGGCTAGAAGAACCATGAGGTGTTAAGAGCTCTGTGGGACGTTCTGTGGGAACTTGGAAGGCAAGAATGTTGAGAGCAGTGCAGAGGATGGAGGCCTGGCTTGTGAAGTTTCAGAGGGAACTTTAAAGACTCTGCCAGGGTCATTTGTTATTTTAAATTAAGATTCTGTGGTTCTGGTTAGCTGGGGCTGAAGAGTCAGCTGTGATTAACAAGATACCTGAATTACTAAATCAAAACTTTGTCTTGCTGGGATATTTGGTGCTGGGCTAAGACATTATATTAAGTGATTAAGAAGTGATTAAGAAGAGACCAGCATGAGCTAGTGGGAGCTCATTGACTCTGGACTGACAGCTGGGAAACCTGCATAGGACTGAACTAGGCCCTCTGAATGTGGGTAACAGTTGTATGGCTTGGGCAGTTTGTGGGGCCACTGGCAGTGGGACCAGAATTTATCCCTAGTGCATGAACTGGCTTTTTGGAGCCCATTCCCTATGGAGGGATACCTTGCTCAGCCTAGATACATGGGGGAGGGGGGAGGCCTTGGTCTGGCCTGAACTTGATGTGCCAGACTTTGTTAACTCCCCATGGGAGGCCTTCCCCTCTCTGAGGAGTAGATGGGGGGGGGGCAGGAAGAGGGAGGGAAGGGAAACTGGGATTGGTATGTAAAATGGAAAAAGTTTTTAAATTTTAAAAAGATAGATTTAAAAAAAACTTTAAAAATAAAAAATAAAAGCAAAAGTAAAAAAGAAGAGACCAGCAGCCTTTAATCCCAGCACTCAGGGGACAGAGGCAGGTGGATATCTGTGAGTTCTATGCCAGCCTGGTCTACAAAACAAGTTCCAGAACAGCCTGTTACACAGAGAAACCCTGTAAGAAGAAGGAGGAGGAGGAGGAGGAGGAAGAGGAGGAGGAGGAGGGGGGGGGGGGGGGGAAGGGGGCAGTGATGGTCAGAGGCAAGTTCCAGATACCCACATATCTGACCAGTTCTCAGCCATGGAGTCCTGACCACCCGAGACTGAACCCCTGTCTCTGGAGCAGAGAATAGACTCTGGAACGGAGAAAAGCCTGCATGAAGAAAAGTTACAAGCCTAGGGAAAAAATTTTATTAACTTTTTAAAAAAACACAAGGAAATATTAAAAAGTTTGTACAGAAGAAAAAAACAAGAATTAGTCAAGGACGGAACAGAATGTCAGGACCCAAGGCTCACAGGAGAACTCTCTGGTGACTCAGAAGCCCCAGGAGGATGCATCCCTTGGTCAGAATCGAAAGATCCTGTCGGAGTGAGGATTGCCAACCCCACCCAGCCCACCCAACCCCCAGTTCGTGAACTTTTCTTTAAAAGATGGTAAAGAAATGAGTGGCTCAGGCAGCGTTTGACTTGGGATCTCCTCTAAGTACCAAGAAACAAAGTCAGGTCTATGTGGAGTTAAGGAAAGAAGGAGAAGTCCGAAAGAATCCCAGTAGCTCAGAGTTTTAAGCCACTGTTGTGGTTTGAAATGGACCCCACAAGCCCATAGGACACTATTAGGAGATGTGGCCTTGTTGGAGGAAGTGGTCACAGGGGACAGCTTTGAGGTCTCAGATGCTCAAGCCACGCCCAGTGTGGCAGTCACTTCCTGCTGCCTGTGCTTCCAGATGTAGGACTCTCAGCTCCTTCTCCGACACCGTGTTTGCCTGCATGCTGCCGTGCTGATAATGGCCAGAACCTCTAAACTGTAAGCCAGCCCCAATTAAAGGTTTTCCTTTATAAGAGCTGTCGTAGAACCCTGCGACAGCCACAGACCTCAGTCAGTTTTCCATCACTGTGACAAACAACTTAAAAGGCAGCGGGGTTTATTTGGACCCAAGGTCACTGAAGTTCCTCTCGGTGGCCATGACCCCTCTGTTATGGACCCTCAGTGACTGAACTCAGCAGGGGAAAGCTGCTCCCTTCAGGGTAGCCGGGAATTATGAGACACATCTCAGAGCCTAGCTCCCTTCTAGAGGCTCCACAGCCTCCCAGCAGCACCATGAGCTGTAAATGTGCCTTGAAGGGAAAGTCAGGCTCCAGGCTGTAGCAGTGAGAAGGCATCCTTTATATTGGGGGGGGGGGGGGGGGGGGGGGGGGGGGGGGGGGGGGGTGTGGGGGGGGGGGGGGGGGGGGGGGGGGGGGGGGGGGGGGGGGGGGGGGGGGGGATGTAGGTGTGTGTTGTGGTATGGTATTGTGTGTGGGGAAGAGAAGGGTTACATGCGTGTGTGCATGCGTGTGTGTGTATGAGAGAGAGAGAGAGAGAGAGAGAGAGAGAGAGAGAGAGAGAGAGAGAGAGAGAGAGCATGTGTGAAGATCATTGAAGAACCTGCTGGACTTGGTTCTTTCCTTCCATCATAGTAGGATTGAACTCAGGTTTCCAGGTTTGGCCACTGAGCCATCTTGCAAGCCCTGTCTTCCCCAGTTTTTGATAGCAAAAGACACACTGCTTTCAAAAGCAATTGCTGAGCCCTCTTCCTATTCTCCAACTCAAATGTGACCACTCATCATCTATCAAGGGCCAGCCAATGCTTGTGAGGACATCCTTACATATGAACTAGGGTAAGAATGGAGAACTCTTCACATCTGATCAAACAGACCTGGGCAGACAACCAGAGGTCACACATTTTCCGCTAGGCACAGAGGCTTGAACCATGAGTTCAAGGCCAGCCTGGTCTACAAAGTGGGTTCTAGGACACTCAGGGCTATCTAGTGAGGCCCTGTCTCAAAATAAAACAAAACAAAAAAACCCTTTAGCTGGGCAGCGGTGGCTCACATCTTTAATCCCAGCATTTGGGAGGCAGAGGCAGGTGAGAGTTTGAGGCTAGCCTGGTCTACAAAACTAGTTCTAGGACAGGCAAGGCTACACAGAGAAACACTGTCTTGGAAAAAAATAAATAAATAAAAAAAAATAAAAAAGGAAACAAACAAACAAAATTCTAACCCTTACTGTAAAAACAGCAAAGGTGTAATTTTCAGCGTGTAATGTACAACATGCTGTAGACTAGTTCCTGAGGGTGGAGCCCATGTTGTGGGGTTAGTGCCCTGAGATCTGCCCAGAGAGCTTGTTTCTGGGGACCCACTGAGATGCTCTTTGTCTGTAATCTAGTGTGAAGACTGAGCACTCAGCATGTGGCCTTCGAGCCTCCAGAGCTGTGAGGAATGCGTTGTCTGGGCTACCCAGCCTATGGCAACGTTTGTGTGACCAGCTAGGACTTCAGAGTTTAATATAAATCTCTACAACTCACTGAGACCGTGGGAGCCTTTACTTTACTATGCCCACAGTCTCCACAGTCACTTAGAGAGGTGTTTCCAAGTTTATAGAGAATGAAGAAAAATTAGGAGGTTAACCTAAACCTTTTTAGTGAGAAAAACACGGCTGAGCTACAGGCCTTCGTTTGAGAGAGCATTACACTGCCACTTCCAGATGATATTGTGGAGGGCTGGGCAGATGGCTCAGTGAGAAAAGACTTGGCAGCGAGCTTGATGACCTGAGTTCAATCTGCAGGACCCATTTGGTGGAGGAGAAAATTGACTCTGCAGTTGTCCTCTGACCTCTACATGCATGCCATGGCGTGCACACACACACACATGCACACACACACACGTGAAAAAATAATAAAATTTCAGGAAATCTTTTTATAAAAGAAAATGCTAATAACTATCACATTTTAAAAATTATATATATATATAACCTGGAATTTGAAAGAAATTTAGGAGAAACTGAAAAGTTTCAGGAGGACTCGTTCGTCTCATTGAAGGTTTATAATACTCTCTATAAAGACTTGAATACTTTTTTTTGTACATTTGTGGTATGTGTGGGTGTTTAAATACGCATGAGCTCACAAGTGTGTCAGGCTAGCATGTTTATGGAGGGCTTGAGTTTACATGGGGTGTCTTCCTCAATCATTCACTTTATTTATTGGGGAGGCATCTCTTGCTGAACCCAACCCCCACTGATTGTCTGGTCTAGTTAGTCAGCTTGTCTAAGGGGAGTTCCCTGTCTCTGCCTCCCAAGTGTTAGGATTAAAGACCTGTACTACCACACTAGGCTGAGTTTACATTTTTAAAGGTAAATATCTAAACACCATGGCACAATTGCAACCCTAAAACTTCAAACGCCCCATAAGTCCCTAAAGTCTAAATGTAGGCACAGCCACTGGTCTGCTTGTTTTAGAGAAGAGACTGGAGAGATGACTCAGCACTTGCTACCCTTCCAGAAGACCAGAGTTTGGTTCCCAACACCACACTGGTGGCTCAGAACCACCTGTAACACCGGCTCCTCTTCTGCACACACACAAATGCATGTAAAACTATTTTAAGTTTCTAAAGGGTGAGATTTTTTTATTGGGCTCTCACATTAAAGGTAGTATACTTCTTAAATGAATGTCTATGACTTTTATACACAGGAAAGTGATGAGTGGGGTGGGTGTCCCATGACAACAAGGGAGAAAACTTCAAAGCTAGGCTGGTGGAATTCACCTGAGTCCCAACTATTTAGAAAACCAAGGCAGGAGATCCAGTTGAGATCAGCCAGTGAGACATAGTAAGACCTGATCTCCAAAATCCAAACCACAAAAAAAAAAAAAAGCGGCCACCTCACCTCAAATGCATAGGCTTTCCCGATGCCATCTCCTGCTCCGGTGATCACTGCAAGAAACAGCGACAGACTTGAGGCAACAGAACGGTGCCTCTCTCTCTCTCTCTCTCTCTCTCTCTCTCTCTCTCTCTCTCTCTCTCTCTCTCTCTCTCTCTCTCTCCCTCTCTNTCTCTCTCTCTCTCTCTCTCTCTCTCTCTCTCTCTCTCTCTCTCTCTCTCTCTCTTTCTCTCTCTCTCTCTCTCCCTCTCCCTCTCTCTCTCTGCTACAGTCTCCTGTACAACTCAGTCTAGAACTCTCAATACCACAAAGCCATGTTTTCTCACTCCAGCTTTGGTCCCCCCCCCCCACAGAACTCCTGATGTGAAGGGTTTTTCTGTCTGTTTGGGATGTGAGGGGTTGTGTGTGTCATTTTCAGAGGGATCCGTGTATCTAGAAAACACACTCTGAAATGCAGCAAAGCCTAAATCAATAAGTATTTTATCCAGGTTTCTTAATGTGTGGGGTAGCACAAGCCTTAGCACCTCCAGGGCAAGCAAGTGAACCGTTATTACTTCACCCTGCCCAGTGGTTACCCTAAGAACACCTCAGTGTTCTGTCTGAGAAGTGAATTCTGGACCCTCCCTTCCTTCACCCCACAGGACAGCAGCCCTCAATGCCTGTGGAAGATAGGGAACCTAGCAAAAAGGACACAGGAATGAGGGGTGCAGAAACCCAACGACTTTACACAGCTAATCCTCAATACCACTATCTGCTAGGACCCAACAATCTCAAATGCCTTTACATCCTTCCTTCCTAAAATTGGAGACAGAATGCCACAATTCACTACACATACACCTGCGACTGACCTTGGCACCAGCAATTGAAGGACACACTTTAAAAAATGCCAACAAAAAAAATCTATTAAGTTTATTGAGCATGGGTCTCATGATATTCTCTCTGTGTGTTTTCCAGCCTTATAACTGGGATATTTTTGGCCCCTCCTTGAAATATTTTCCCCCGCTGGCTGGCCTGTGCCTGAAGACATTACATATTTGTTCATGATAACATTATGCATTCTTGACTCCCAAACAAGCTAAGATTATATTTTTCACTTTGAAGCACTTTGGCTCCATTTTAACTGCTTTTGGGGGAGGGTTCTTAGAGGGTCTACGTGGGCAGTGCTTATTGAGATGTCTGGTAGCTCCAGGCACATGGGCATTTGATTGTACATGGCAGGATATTCGGATCTAGAGCACACAAGCCCAGGCAGCTTAGTAAGGTTACTAGAGGCAGAAAACACATGTGCACACCATATATGAAGCATCAATTAGAAACTCATGGGTTCATCCTAAACAATTTCCCATATAGTCATTTAACAAACACCTATGACAAAGTTTGCAAAGTTGACAAGTTTAGTGGAGAAGGGCATGGGATGTATAAAAAATAAATTAACATTTGCACTTGAAATATTTTGAAATACCCTTTAGCAAATGGATGCACACCAGTCCAGGGTTTAGAAATCTGTAGATGAAGAGACAGGTATTTCTGCCTTATTTATTATTTGTATTACCAGAAAAACTCCAATAAGAAGAAAATCTAGCAAAGTAGCAGACACATGGGTGAGAACTGAGAGGCAGTCTCCCTCCACCATCTCCTGACCCATGCCTTGATGTTCAGATAGTTCTAATTCCACTCCAGCTGTCTAGCCATGCCATTGCATTTATGTGAAGTCTCAGAAGCATTCTGAGACACAAGAATAAGAAACAGGAGCAATCAAATCAGTATGACTTAGGGGTCTTCTTACCTGCCCATTGTCCCATTGATCGCAGGAAAGACCCTGGTAAAACCTTCCAGAAGCTCAGCAAGAGGTACCGGGAAAGCCTCACACACTTCAGCAGGCAGAGCAGGCACGCAAGCAGCCCCACAAAAACGAAGAATTGCTCCATGGTCTCTCCGTGGCTGTCTTGCTGGAGATGCTGCTGGGACCTGGCCCTTGCCCCCTGTGTGCCTCCCAGGACAGGCGGCCTGGGGACTTGCCAGATCTCCTTCCGGGAGGTACTGGGTGTATTCCTCAAGATTAGAGTAACTTCTCTATGTAACCTTGTGATTCACAAGCTTTTGAATCAAGTATTCTTCATAATATCTTTACAGAATGCTTGGGCTTTTGTGACAGTGGAGTTTCTGAGTGAAAGAGACAGTAGACTTGCAGAAAAGCAAAGCCCAGAGAAAGGTAACGGCAGGGGTACTAGGGTCTGAAGTCTCCAAAGAGCCTCGTTTTTATGAGTTGGTCTCCAAGGGTCTCTGTATTAAAAGCCTGATCCCCATGGTGTTAGTGATGTGGGAGGTGATAGAACTTTTAAGAAATGGGGCCCATACTTTGGAGATAAATATGGAAGTTTCTCAGGAAATTGGGAATCGGTCTACCTCAAGACCCAGCTATACCACTCTTGGTCATACACCCAAAGAATTCTCAATCATATCACGAGGACACTTGCTCAACTATGTTCATAGAGGTTTTGTTCATAATAGCCAGAACCTGAAAACAACACAGATGTCCCTCAACTGATGAATGGATAAAGAAAATATGGTACATTTACACGATGGAGTATTCCTCAGCTGTTAAAAACAATGACATCAAGAAAACTGAAGGCAAATGAGTGGAACTAGGGAAAAAATCATTCTGGATGAGGTAACCCAGACCCAGAAAGACAAACATGGTGTGTACTCACTTATAAGCTGATATTAACTGTAAAGTGAAGAAAGGCCATGTTACAATCCATAGACCCAGAGAGGCTGGGTAACAAGGGGGGTTCAAGTGGGGGAGACACATGGTTCTCCCTGGGAAGGGGAAGTAGAGAGATCTCATGGGCGTACTGGGGGCAGGTGGGATAGGAACATGAGGGGTTGGGTTGGAAGGAGGAGGGAGAGTACTGAAAGAGATGACTGGAAAGGCAATCTTACAGTGGAACCATACAACCTTTAACCCACAGTCTGTCCTGCCTATAGGATGTGTAGGGGAGAAGGGACCAGGATAAGGGTGGCTCAGAGATTGTGGGAAATGGCTGGTCCAGCCTGAGACCACAAAAGTGAGCCCACCCTGCCGTGGCCTGGAATGCTAGGATCTAGAGACTGAATGGCCCAGAGACCTAAAATAGAGCCAAACACAACTGGAGGGAAAAAATGCCAACGTAATGGCGCCTAACAATATTCTGCTCTAGTCATAGATTGGTGACTACCCCAATTGTCATCAGAAGCTCAAGGTTGTCACTGGCTACATTGTGAATTCAAGACAAGTCTGGGCTACTTAAAACTGTCTGGAAAGAAAAAGATAAAAGAAAATGAAAGGAAGGAATAAAAGAAGGGAAGAAGGAAGGAAGGAGGGAGAGAAAGAAAGAGGAAGAAAGGAAGGAAGCTACGAGAACACAGCTCAGGATCTTACTGAGGGCACCAAATTAGTGAGCAGACCAGACATCTTCCTTGTCACAGGTTCAGGAGAAACCAGTCCATTTTCCCCATTTGGTATAAAAGTCACTGCTGGCTTTTCACAGACAGGTGTTATCATGGGGAGATTTGATCCTACTGTTGCTAATTACTTCAGAGTTTTCAATCATGAAGGATGCTGAATTTTGTCAAAACCTTTTTTATATCCATTGAGGTGGTTATGTAACTTGTCTTTATTCCGCTTTTAGGCTGTATTACATTAACTCATTTGCTATTCCAGCATCCCTGTAGTGAAACCACCTTACTCCTGGGGTTTTAGCTTTTTCTTCTGTTATTTAACTTGAGTTGCTGGTGTTTTACTGAGGATTTTTGCATCTGTGTTCATCAAGGAAATGTCTATAGCTCTCTCTGTGTGTGATATCATCACCCAGTTCTGCCATCAGAGTGGCTGCAGCTTCCTTCCTTCCCTTCTAGTTTTGTGGGATAGTATGAGAAGGTCTTAGCTCTTCATTGGAGATCTGGTATAGTTCAGCCATTAATCTGCCAGGTACTTAGATTGTCTTTATTGGAAGAGTGTTGCTCCTCCAGTTTCAAGGCTCACCATCATTTTGGGGTCGCTTATATTCTCTTGATTCACATGTGTCAAAAAAAATATCCATTTTTCCTAGGTTTTACAATTTATCAGGATATATTTTTTAAATAATCCTCTGGATTCAGTGGTATCTATTAATATTTTCTTTTATGTCTAATTTAAAAATTTGAGGTCTTCTCTCTTTCTTTTGTTTAATTTGTCTAAGAGTTTTCCAATTTTATTTTTTCAAAGAATTGTTTCTCTGATATTCTGTATTGTTCTTTTAACCTCTGGAACAGCTGGAATTATAGGCATACACACCAACATGGCTCCTGCTTTTCACTGTGCCTTATGGTATTAAATGGCCCCTCCATCTCTAGTCTCCAGGTGACTTTCCTATTTCTTTTTTATTTATCTTTTTTTAAAAAACTTTTTTGATTCTTTGTGGATTTCATATCATGCATTTCGATTCTACTTTATCTCCCCACCCTCTGCCCTTACAACCTCTTGATCAAAATCAGACTTGGAAGAAAAATCAAAACCCAAACCAAACAAAAGATGAATCTTGTCATGGGCTCTCATTGGAGCTTCTCTTGGTATCCTGCTGTGGACCCGTGTCAGGGAGATCCTGCTGTTTTGTATCTGTAGGCTTTTCCCCTCACAGGCTCCATTGCTCCACATGCTTCACGGTTCATAGATTTAGAGGATGATGGGGTAGACCAACTCATAGCCCTGGTTCTGGGCCCTGGTTGTAGCTGAGTTGGTCAGCCCACCAGCTTTTCCTCATCATCACTACCTGGGTGAGCTCTCCAGCCTTGGCTAGCTCACCCAACGCAGCCTGCAGCAAGAAGCAAGGCTAGTTTTCCTGCCCTTGGCCCGTAGATCCGGGTCCCCCACTCACATCATCAGGGCCAGCCACCTCATCCCAACTACAGGGTCAGCTCTAAGGTGTTGCCCAGGGGAGGCCCATGCCTATAGTGAGGGGTGGGGCCAACTCTGCTGCTGCAGGATCCAGTGAAGACAAATTAAAATCAGTCAAGGGGAGAAAGGCATAAAACAAACTCAGAGAAACATCAAATGAAATTGCCCATTGTCTCCCCAGTGTGGAGTCTGTCTCTGTGCTCAGTACCTTTGGTTTGATCGACTGTCTGTGGGCTGACCTCAGTCCCCATCAGGCGTAGTTTGAAATAGTGAGCCAGAGTTACACGTCAGTAAGGCATCCTGATCAAGTAGGACCCTGCTCACCCTCCATCCACCATTGTCTGGGCTCTAGTCTGCCCTGAAAGGTGGTCTAACTGTCACAGGCTACCACTCTGCCCAGCGCTCAGAACAACGTCTCAGAGAGCTTTCCCGCGTACGTTTGAAATCTTCCTGGAAAACAAGCTCCAGCCCTTTCCTTCCCCAACATGTGATTCCTGGGGGGGACTTCAATTCCACAGAGACCATTGTTTTAATAACCTGATGGCCAAAAGAAAGGGCCCAAGCGTCTCTGGGGACAGTATGGTATCTGTGCCCACACAGAGGTCAGAAGACCACTTTTAGGAGTCAGTTTGCTTCTTCTGTGGGTTCTGGGGATCAGAAAATAACTCGCAGAAGTGGCCACAGATCACTTCAATAGAGGCCACTGAGGTTCATCCGCACAGGTGTCTAGCTGGTACCACCTCATGCACCCAACACCCCACCTAACCTTAATTCAGAACCCTGATTGGCACTCTCATCTGCTACAGGCCTTCCTAAGAGTGAAAAGGGCTACGGGCCATCCTGATACAAATGCTGTTCTTAGGGTGCCCTCTGCTGGCCATATGTGGAAGACGAGGCAAAGTCTTAAAATCATTTCTGACCGAAATCCAAAAATAAAACTTCAAGATAAGGAAAACAGCGTCGAAAACAGAAAAGCTGTTTTCACTTATTTGCTGAGTGAGTGATTTCTGGTCTCTGGCTTCAGAAGGGATGCCAGAGGTTCCTCTAACAACAGTCTGGAAGCCCCTATGTCATAGTCTCGAAGCCTTAAAAAGTAAGCAGGGGCAGGCATGAGTGCAGTTCAGTCGGAAGAGCGCTTGGCTAACACTTGAAGTCTGGTTTTAATAGCACCACGGAAGCCAGCCTCGGTGTCCATAACCGTAACCCCAGCACCACAGAAGCCAGACTCAGTGTCCATAACAGTAATCCCAGCACCACAGAAGCCAGACTCAGTGTCCATAACCGTAACCCCAGCACCACAGAAGCCAGGCTCGGTGTACATAACCGTAATCTCAGCTTGAGTGATGGAAGCAGAAGGATCATAAATTCAACCATCCTTGATTACAGGAGACCTTGTCTCAAAACAAAAAACAAACAAAACAAAGAAATAAAAGAAACAACATTACTAAGAAATGGAAAGCTAGGCCTGGCAGTGCACTCATTTAATCTCAACAAGGGAGTCAAAAACAGCCAGATCTCTAACTTTGAGACCGTCCAGGTCCACATAAAGAAACTGAAGAAAAGACAAACAAAAACTGTCCCTTAAATAAAGTAAAATGCACACACAATCAAACAGGCAAAGGAAATGGTTCAAGCCTCGAAAATTGAGCTGGGCGGTGGTGGTGCACACCTTTAATCTCAGCACTCAGGAGGCAGAGGCAGGCAGATCTCTGTGAGTTCAAGGCTAGCCTGGTGTACAAGAGCTAGTTCCAGGACAGCTAGGACTGTTACACAGAGAAACCCTGTCTTGAAAACCCCTGCCCCCACAAAAAAAAAAAAAAAACTTGAAAATTTAAACAGAAGCAATAAAGAAAACATAAACCAAATTCTTGAAATGGAAAATCTGGGTAAGTGTGCGGCGAACTCCCTGACCAGCAGGAAGGAACAGCCACCAGATGAGGATTCTTCCCAAATCACGCTTTATTGGAGCCTCTTGGTTATAGGGAGAGCAGAAAGCAAGGGGCCCCGAGCTCTGAGCTGCAACTGCTTATATAGGGAGTCTGCCTAGCAACCTTTGATACTTTGATACCTTAACTGCTTTTCTGGAGACCCACTGGCCGGAAAGAAAGCAGGGGAACTTCCTTGTGGTCTTGCCAGCCACTCAAATTGGCTCCCAGCATAAGTGAACAAGAGCTACAGACACAAGCATTACCAATGGAATACAAGAGATGGAAGAGAGGATCTCAGGCACTGAAGATATGATCGAGGAATAAATTTGTTAGTCAAAGAAACTGCTAAATCCAAAAAATTTCTAACACAAAACATCCAGGAAATCTGAGACACCATGAAAAGACCAAATATAAGAATAACAGAGATAGAAGAAGGAGAATAATCCCAACTCAAAGGCACAGAAAATGTATTCAACAACAAAATCATAGAAGAAAGCCTTCTCAACCTAAAGAAGGACATGCCCGTAAAGCTACAAGAAGCTTACAGAACACCACAAAGACTGGACCCCCCTAAAAGAGTCCCCTTGCTACATAATAATCAAAACATTTAACATACAAAATAAAGAATATCAAAAGTCGCAAAGTAAAAAGGCCTAGTAATGTATAAAGACAGATCTATTACACCCGACTTCTCAGTGGAGATTCTAAAAGCCAGAAGATCCTGGACAGTAGTCTTGCAAACTCTAAAAGATACAGATGCTAGCCTAGACTACTATACCCAGCAAAACTTTCAATCACCATAGATGTAGAAAACAAGATATTTCATGACAAAGTCAAATTTAAACACTATCTATGCACAAATATGGCCCTACAGAAGGTAAAAGGACAACTCCAATTCAAGGAGGTTGGCTACACCCGTGAAAACACAGACAATAGATAATCTCACAACACCAAATACCAAAGAAGAGAACCCCCCCTTCTCTCTTTTTCTCTCTTCCCATCCCCAACAAAAACAACAACAAAATAACAGGAATTAATAATCACTGGTCAGTAATATATCTCATTTTCAATGAGCTCTATCAACCAATAAAAAGAGACAGGCTAACAGAATAGATACAAGAAACACATCTCAACATCAAACATAGACATTACCCCAGAGTAAAGGGTTGAAAAAATATTTTTCAATAAAACAAACCTAAGAAGCAACCTGGTATAGCTATTCTAGAATCTAAGAAAATAAACTTCAACCCAAAATATATCAAAAGAGGTAGAGAAGGACACTTCAAACTCATCAAAGGAAAAAAATCTATCAAGATGATGTCTCACTTCTGAATATCTGTGCCCCAAATACAAGGGCATCCACATTTGTAAAAAAAATAAAATAAAGGGCTGGAGAGATGGCTCAGTGGTTAAGAGCATTGCCTGCTCTTCCAAAGGTTCTGAGTTCAATTCCCAGCAACCACATGGTGGCTCACAACCATCTCTAATGGGGTCTGGTGCCCTCTTCTGGCCTGCAGACATACACACAGACAGAATATTGTATACTAAATAAAATAAATAAATATTTAAAAAATAAAATAAAATATTACTAGAGCTTAAATCACACATCAAACCCCACACATTAATAGTGAAAGATTTCAATGCCCCACTGTCCCCAGTGGATGGGTTGTTCAGAAAGAAACTAAAAATGGAACTCACAGACATTATGACTCAAATGGACCTAACAGGTATCCACATTTCATCCAACCACAAAATAATATACCTTCTTCTCAGCACCTCATGGAACCTTCCCCAAAATTGATCATATACTCAGTCACAAAGCAAGTCTCAACAGATGCAAAATATTTGGAATAATCCCCTGTATCTTATCAAATCATGATGGGTTAAAGTTAGAGTTCAATAACAACACAAACTACAGAAAGCCTACAAATTCGTGGAAACTGAACAACTCTCAACTGAATTACCACTGGGTCAAAGAAGAAATAAAGAAATTAAAGACATCCTAGAATTCAATGAAAATGAAGGCACAACATACCAAGACTTCTGGGATACAACAAAAGAAGTGGTCAGACAAAAATTCATAGCACTAAGTGCCTGAATAAAGAATTTAGAGAGATGTCACACTAGTGACTTAACAGCACCCCTGAAAGCTCTAGAACAAAAGGAAGAAAAAGCACCCTAGAGGAGAGGACAGCAGGAAATAATCAAACTCAGGACTGAAATCGATAAAATAGAAACAAGGAGAACAACACAAAGAATCAATGGAACAGAGTTGGTTCTTTGATAAAGTCAACAAGATAGACAAAACCCTTATCCAAACTAACTAAAAGACAGAGAGATTTCAGGCACTGAAGATATGATCGAGGAATAAATTCATTAGTCAAAAAAAACTGCTAAATCCAAAAAAATTCTAACACAAAACATCCAGGAAATGTCCAGAGAGAGAATACCCAAATAAACAAAATCAGAAACAAAAAGGGGTACATGACAGACATGTATCTTTGGGATATTATTATATCTTTGGGATGAAACCTACTTGATCATGGTGGGTGATCTTTTTGGTGTGTTCTTGGATTTGGTTTGCTAGTATTTTATTGAGTATTTTAGCATCAATGTTCATGAGGAAAATTGGTTTACAATTCTCTTTGATGAGTCTTTGTATGGTTTGAGTATCAGGGTGACTCATAAAAATAATTTAGCAATGCTCCTTCTGTTTCTACTGTGAGGAACCATTTGAGGAATAAAGGTATTAGCTCTTCATCAAAATTCTGGTAGAATTCTGCCCTGAAATCATCTGGCCCTGGGCTTTTCTTTTTGGTTGGGAGCCCTTTAATGACTGGTTCTTTTTCCTTAGGGTTTATAAGTCCATTTATGTTTATCTGATCTTGATTTAATTTTGGTATGTGGTACCAATTAAGAAAGTTGTCCATTTCTTTTAGATTTTCCAATTTTGTGAAGTAAAGATTTTTGAAGTATGACCTAATGATTCTGCTTTTTTTGACACCCACGGGAGGCCTACCCCTTCCTGAACAGAAACAAAAGAATTAGGGCATTAAAGGTCCAAGTCAAAAATCCATCAGGATGGTTACTACTGAAAAACAAAGCCAAAATGTGTTTTGTGAAAGATGAGAAACTTCACAGTAACTGTAAAAAGAATACAATGTATCAGATCCTAAAAAATTAAAAGTAGAGTTGGGCCTGGTGACACACACCTTTATTCCCAGGACTCAGGAGGTTGAGGTAGGCAGATCTCTGAGTTTAAGCCCAGGACTCAGGAGGTCGAGGCAGGCAGATCTCTGAGTTTGAGGCTAGCCTAGACTACAGTTTGAATTCCAGGTCAACCAGAACTATACAGAGAAACCTTGTCTTGAAAACATATTAACTAGAATTCCACTACTGTGTATAAATCCAAACATAATTGAAAGCGTGACCTTCTACTTTTTGAGGCAGGGTGTTGCTGTGCCCCCAGGCTGGCCTCAACCTCCCGAGTGCTGTAATTATGAATGTGCTGCAAACAGGAAGCTCAGAGAGCAAACCTGAAATGGCCAGAGCCTTTGAAACCTCAAAACCCACCCTAGTGACACACTTCCTCCAGCAAGGCCACCCAACTGGGGACCATACATTCAAATGTCCAAGAATAAAGGGATGTACTGAGGACTTTTTTGTTTTTTGACAACTTTTCCCAACATTTGTCCCAAAGTGGGTATTTCCTTGTTCCCTTCAAGGTGGAGTAATGCATACATAGAGAGGGATAAATGTGTGTGGACATGTTGTGCACACACATACATGTGTGTATGGAGACACGAGGGTGATGATGGGTGTCTTCCTCACCTGGTCTCCACCTTACGTTTTGAGACTCTCTCTCTCTCTCTCTCTCTCTCTTCTCTCTTCTCTCTTCTCTCTTCTCTCTTCTCTCTTCTCTCTTCTCTTCTCTCTCTTCTCTCTCTTCTCTTCTCTTCTCTTCTCTTCTCTTCTCTTCTCTCTCTCTCTCTCTCTCTCTCTCTCTCTCTCTCTCTCTCTCCCTCCCTCCTGGCTGGCCATAGTCCCAGGATATGCATATCTCTGTCTTCCCAGAGCTGAGGCATGCACCATATATGGGTGCGAGAGATCAAGCTCAGAGTCTCACGTCTGTACTGTGACCACTCCCTATCACTGGGCCATCACCTCTGCCCCAGGAGTATTCCTAGGCATTGAACAACCGACTGTATTTTCTACCATAACGCAATCACACTGTGAGGCATAAATAGAAACGGCTTTTTATTTCACTTTGATGACTTGGAAGACAACATACCAGCATCGTTTAAATCAAAACTGGTTTATTTTTATGAAAATAAAGAGATGTTTCAACAACAACAATAAAAGTTCTCCCTGGCACTTGCTTTGGCTGGGACCTTTGAAATTAAGGCCAAGGTGCTGATAAGCAAAGTCACCCTTGAAACATCCCCCTCAGCACAAAGTGTAGGGCCCCGTGGCTGGATTTGCTTCACTTGGTTGGGGAAGGTTCTGTGCTGTGTGTCTTGGGATCCTTTGGCTCCTTGTGCAGAGACACATGAGGTAGCTTTCTTTGTGTTTCGCAGACAATCCTGTTTGTGCTCTGACCAAGCAGGTGACTGTCCCCACTGTGGGATCTCCGGGTTGTCCACACCTGCTGGGGCTGACCTCTCCTGCCTAGGTCTGCAACTCTGCCTTCCAGCCTAGCTCTTCAGATCCAGAGGGACGCTTTCTTCATCCATGGGTTGTTTAGGTTTTAATTGGCTGTTCAGTGTTAAAAAGGAGTATCTTAAACCACCTGCCATGCTGAAGAGAGGGGGAAGGTGAAAATCCCACAGAGGCTGTCAATGTTTTTATAATTGCAGTCAGCTTAATTTGCACACAACTATT